TTTTGCCATTGTGAGCGTTAGATGTATGTCGACCGGGCAACCCACGTCAATTAAACCAACCTCAGACCTGTGGCGTGTGAATCCGCCCACAGCACGAATTACAGCTGACCGGACAAAAAATGAACCCTTTGTCATCCCGTTTCTTAAAGGGGGATCTTGCTCCAGTTTTCGCAGAAGGAAACCCGGATATTACATTTTGAAATAAATGAATGCAGTAAAGAGGGTTGAGGTGATCCTAGCACAATCAGCCTGGTAAGGCTCATCATCAGCTCCGGGCCCTTGGTCCCACTAAAAGCAGCCCGGACAGCGAATGGGACTTCTCCCAGGAAACGCTGCATGGTCGATCACCCAAGAACTTTCAGGAGAATATGTGACTCCCCAACACTGCAGAGTTCTGCATTAACTACAGTGTCAGAAAGGCTGTGTTCATGGCAACAAGACCCGGTACTCCCCCGATGTCAGTAAAGTGAGTGAGTGACTTTAGTTTTACACCGCCCTCAGCAATATTCCAGCAAAATGGCGGCGGTCTGTAAATAATCGAGTCTGGGCCAGACAATCCAGTGATCAGTCCAGATCCATTCTCATTCAATTCTATGCATGATCTACGTGTCATACGGACATTTGGATGCAAAACCACACTTCGGCGGTTCTGAGTGGGAAGTGATTGGTCCTAAGCAGCAAACAGAAAGCCTTCTGTTTCAGTTTCTGTCCATCCGACTTCATCCAAGCGAAATACTCTGCATTGTTGTTTTCCTTCCCATCTCACGGCATTCCTCGATGCATTCCTCCTTCGGACGGACTTCCCTTATATTACGACGTTACAGTTCACTCCGCTTGGTTAGCACTCTCATTTCTGTGCCTTCCAGCAGAAAAATCCTAATCCAGAACGGTGGGGTAGCCTGGTGGTTAAAGCGTTGGCACGTCACGCCGAAAGCCCGGGTTCGATTCCCCACATGGGCACAATGTGTTAAGCCCATATCTGGTGTCCCCCGCCGTGATATTGCTGGAATATTGCTAAAAGCGGCGTAAAACTAAACTCAGTCAGTCAGTCGAAACAGAGAAAGGCATGTATTCACACTGTGCATTTACATAACGAAACAGGGGATTTCTATGGAATCCTGGAAGGGACATTGTCGCATTGTCGCATTCAAGTCGCGTTGTCGTCCTCAAAATTAACCAAAACGCGAGGCGAAATCGCGACAAAACGATATTTCGTCCATTTGTCGCATTGTTGCGATGTCGCGTGTCGCGTTTTGGTTTATTTTGCCTCATTTTACTTGTGTTTGAGAGGGCGACAATGCGACAACGCGACCATGTCCCTTCTCGGATTCCATAGATTTCTGTATCTTCAGGTTCCATGTCCATATCAGCCGTGAAGAACCGGGTTAGAATTGTTTGACTTGTTTGACTGGTCAGGCTCGCTGACTTGTTTGACTTGTTTGATGCATGTCATCGTAACACACTTGCGTAGACCGTGATATAAATCACTTAATTGTCCAGATTCGATTATCTACGGAGCGACGTATTATTGATGGAATATTGCCAAGTGCGGTCGGTGTTAAAAACAAACATGCAAAACAGGCCATATTCATATCGACAAAACAATTACAATGTTTTATTGCATTGCCGAAGGTACAAGTATCTTATATCATTAATAAAAGCGTCTGACCGAAACACCGTCCGTCGCTCTCTGGACGAGCGTTCTGTCTACTGCACCAAACGGGTGAGCGAGTGGGTGAGCGAGTTTAGTTTTACGCCGCTTTTAGTTATATTCCATCAATGTCAGGGCGGGAGACACCAGAAAAGGGCTTCACACATTGTACACATGTGGGGAATCGAACGCGGTTCGGCGTGACGTAAGAACCACTAGGGTACCCCACCGCCCCAGGTGACCTCGCAGAGAGCGCGATTGGTTTAACTAAAGAGCATATATGATTACATGTCTTAACGAAAACGTAACCTGACGTTGACCTTCACCCAAGGCCACACACACGTTCTGTGATACAGATACGTTTGTTTGTAGTTTAACGCCGCACTCGGGAATATTTCAACAATATGGTGGAGGTTAATAAACTATTGAGTCTGAAACAGACAATTTTAGTAATCAACATCATGATACAAGTGCCACTGGCTACGGACAGGTATGAGAAAAGGGGGAAAATACACCCCCGGACAAAATCAACTGTTCTCTACAGGTAACAGTGACCAAACAGGGATGTTTATTATACTAGATTAAAAACCACAGTTGTAATGAAATATCAGCTTTTCTGTATGTAAATTGGATATTGGCGTGTGAGTGAGTGTGTGAGTGAGTGAGATAAGGTCTAGCAAGAGCCAAGAGCAATATTCCAGCAATATCACGGCGGGGAAACCAGAAATGGGCTTCACACATTGTACCCATGTGGGGAATCGAACCCGGACCTTCTGGGTGGCGAGCGAACGCTTTAACCACTAGACTAACCCCGCGCATTGTTGGAAATTATAAAATTTCATTTAATTC